ATAAGGAAGAACATGCTTTCCCCTTTACAAAACTCTACCAGAAGACGCGTGCTTGAGGTCCGGAACACAAGCAGACGAACACATTTTGTAGCATGCAGACTTTGTTGTACGACCCACACAGCACTTCCCTTCCCCTGCCCCATGGCCAAAGAAGTGGTCCTTGCCATGCAGTTTGCTTTCCCTTTAGTCTGGGGCTTTTTTTGTTTTCTTTTTGTAGTCAGTTATTTGTCTTTTTTTTTTTTGCCTTTTTTTTTTTTTTTTTAGCCCTAAATCCCAGGTAGCAGTATCCAAGGTAACAGCAGAAAAGAGTCCAGATCTGCACATTATCACTGTTTCTGCAAGTTTCATGCAAAACTTAAGCCATTTCTGCATGCAACACGATGCTGGTCATTTATTGTGCTTCATACAGCTCTGGGGAGATTTCCCCATTCACCATGACAGAGTTTGTTGACTGGGAAGCACAGGTTTGCTTTCCCATGAACACAGAGATATTAAAAGACCCCTCCCCACCTTTCCACTCCCCCCCAGCTGCCCCAAACACATGGGAATCTGCATCTCAGCACCAGGTCCAGACAGTTCACTTGCCTACAAAAGCCCGGTGGCTTCAGTAAAGTCCCATGATTGCAGCTCCCACATCCTTGGACGGGCTTCGGTCCTTCACCAGAAAGTTAATCATGCTCTCCGACTTGATGAGCAAGTTGCAGCCCAAAAAGAAGATGCCGAACATCACAGTCAAGGAGAGGACGCAGAGGACGGCGATCTGCACCACCCGGGTGATGTAAAGGCTCCTCTCGTCAGGTGCCAGGACCGAGGAGCTGCCGTCAGTCGCCAGCACCGAGCTGGTCCCATTGCAGCAGGCCATGAGCATCCCCAAGCCCTGGGTCCTGTTGGGGTAAGCTCCCTGCTCTAGGAGAGTCTGGTTGAAAAAGGAGCCATTCATGGTCTATGCGTGATCCCAAATCTCCGGGGAAAGGCAAGAGGAAAGCTCGCTGTCCCCCTGCCCACCCCTCACATGCCAGGGCTCGGCGCTGCGGGCCGGCGGGCTCCGAGCCACCTCCTGCCTTTCTTCTCCCAACACCTCAGATGGAGGGGAAACTTCCTCGAGGCTGCGAGCGGGTGGGAAGCCAATTTGTGCCGCCGAAGAATAGCTCGTTCCCGGACCCCTCCTGGCACAGGCAGCATTAGCACAACCCCCCAAAGAAACAAAAAGAGAGAGAGGGAAAAGGCAAAGGGGACACGGGGGAGAGGAAGGCAGCCGAAGATGCCTCCATGCCTCCTGCCCTCGCCACTGCCCCGAAGCTGCCGCCCCGGAGCGCAGGGCAGGGCACAGCCCAATCCCCGGGGCTCTCCCGCAGGAGGCAGAGCCGATTCCTGCCGGCTGGGAGCTCCACAAATGCAAGTTCCAAGCTGAAGTCTTCACCGTGTTCAAAGAAAAAACAGCAACTCCACCCCCTTCCAGCCTCCCCCCCAGGACCGCCTTCCTCCCCCTCCACGCTCACCCAGGCTGCCCACACCTTCCCCACGCGT